GGGGGGGGGGGGGGGGGGGGGGGGGGGGGGGGGTGGGATCTTGGGGGTTGAAGAAGGGAAAAGACAGGCAGAGACAAAAAGCGGTCAGACAGGAAAACAGACAGACAAACAAACAAACAGACAAACAGAAAAAGTTTGAAAAACAAGAAAAACAAAATGTGCAGACAGACAAACGAACAGACAGCCAGTGGAGACTCGGAGCTGCCGTCTTAAGCTGAATAGAATGCCAAGTCATAGGGCCTCGCTGCACTACTCTCCACATGCGCAAAAGACAAAAAAGATGGCAATGCATCTTTCCATGTTCTTGTGGTGGATTCAGTCTCATTTTGCACATTTGGAGAGTGGTGCAGCACGGCCCATTATTACTCAGTCTGTATCTGCTAGACCGAGAGTTGCCTCAAATACAGATTTAATTACAGGGCGTTCTATTTGGGAATCGGGCAAAGACGGGTTTGCGCTATAGACTGTGTTTCAGTATCTTTGTATTGTGCTCTGCCTTTTCTTTTTTAATTGAAAACAAACAAAATAGAATGGGACCTCACCCTGTATAGAAGGAAATGTGGCTGTGACTTCCCCCCATATGACTTCAGCATGGGATTATTATCTGATTTGGCCTGAAAACAACGAAAAACGACAAGGAGGCCAAATTTGAGCCCATGTTTATCAAGTCAGGTTAGGGCAAAAAAAAAAGAAAAAAAAAAAAAAGAAAAAAAAAAAAGGAAAAAAAAGAAAAAAGAAGGAGGTCCAGTAACTACCGCATTCTTAGACCCCCTCTCACTCGAATGAATTCCTCCCCTCCCCCCCCTCCTCGCCCCTCCCCAGTACACCAATTCGTCCACGCGTTTACGGCCTACGAACTTGGACCTACTGGTGGTTTACATTAATTTGCTTCTGCTCTCTCCTAGCTTGCCACAAAGCTTTTCCACAACAAAGGCATTTTCTTCTTTACATTTTTCTTCCTCATTTGTCTTCTGTTTGATGGTTCAACTTGGCCAAAAAAATAATTCTGTTCAGTTACTTGCATCATAAGTGCCCAAGGCCGCTGTCCCCCCCCCCATTGGCCAAGTAACTGAACAAAATTATTTTTGTTCAGTTGATAATACCTCAAGGCCATCTCCCTCACATGTCTTGAAATCCAACCTCTACAACAACCTGGGCTTTACAAAAAAAAAAAGAAAAAAAAAAAGAAAAAGAAAGAAAGAAAGAAAGATCACCACTGGAAACTGGAAAAAAAAAATTCTTTTTTTTTTAAAGGGAGATGGCCTTGAGGTATTATCATGGGACTAACCTGCCCAGGTAAATTCAATATTGTGTCTGATCTGACATCCGGTGGCCTTTTCAGCCAGGGGACAGCCAGTAGCAGAGGGACCGGGCATCATCTGAGTGGCTACGGTAGTCGCTGTGCCTCTCCGATTACCCCTCCCTCTATGAACATCGGCAAAGAAGGCTTTTTTTTTAATGCCAATTGGGGGGACCACACACACAAAAAAAAAGGAGTATCATTAATGCAATTCCTTACAGTGCTTACATGTGCAGATCAAGGCCAGGTTTTTCCAAAAAAAAAAAAAAAAAAAAAAAAAAAGGCCAGGTTTTTCCCTTGTGCCAAAAAAATGACCTTCGGAAAAATCTTGCGATATATGTCCTATAATTCTGGTTCTACACAAACATAACCTTAGGGAGGGACACTCACAAACGAGGCCGAAACGTCAAACGCTGGGCCTGTCACAAGGGAGGGAATCTTTGGGCAAACTTTATTTAACTCAAAGTTGCGAGAACACAAGACGGGGAGAACATTAATCAACAAGGTTAGATGAACCTAGATCAGAAGAGAGGTATTATACATCGTACCTGATCTTTGGGATGCGGAGACGGGAGAATGCAAGACAGATTAACAACTTACAAGTACTCGTCGAGAAGGTTTTTGCACCTCTCTCTCTCTCTCTCTCTCTCTCTCTCTCTCTCTCTCTCTCTCTCTCTCTCTCTCTCTCTCTCTCTCTNCTCTCTCTCTCTCTCTCTCTCTCTCTCTCTCTCTCTCTCTCTCTCTCTCTCTCGTGCGCGCGCGCGCGTGCACACACACACACACACACACCATCAACATCACCCCTCCCCACTCATTCTCAGTAGTGCAAGTGCCACATTCGAATTCGATGACGGGGCACTTGCCAATGTGTGTTACACCCACACCCCCCCCCAAAAGGAAAAAAAAGGAAAAAAAGTAGGGTGCCCCAACCACAGATGGGTATGAGGATAACTTTGCCCATCCAGTCCTTGGGTATAGGAATAATTTGGCCGGCCGGTGCATACCCATAATTTGAGCATTCCGGAAATCGGGTACAAAGGTACTCTAACCACAATTTGGGGGTGGTACCAGCCTTGGCCAACCTCAGCCCAGGCATGTAAACAATTTCGACAGGGCGTTTCTTGGGTATAGAAGCAAGTTGGGCTCGGGGCCTGGGTATAGTAGGAATTCCCTTCTTTTTCTTTTCTCTTTTTTTTTACCTTAAATAAGAATAGAGAAAACTAGGGCGCGGTCAGGGTTACAGTTTGAAAATACATTCCAAACTGCTGTTTTGGAGTCCAGTCCCCTCTGAAGTTTACACTGCAGGCCAAACTCGGCAGTCACGTGGCTGTCACAGGGCAGAGTTTGTAACTGCAGTCTTGTCATGCACGTTGGAGGGCCAGGCCGTTTTCCAAAAGAGGAAAGAAGAAACGAGAAAAAAAAAAGATAGTGGTGCTGTAGCTTTCCATGTTCTACTGAAAGATTCACTCTCGGTTTCCACTCTTGATCTCCAAATGTGGAAAACGGGAGTGAATCTTTGCCAGAACATGGAAAGATACAACTCCATGATTTTTGCCTTCTGTGCGACGGGAATACAGGGGCCCAGCAGGATACACGGGCTGACAACACCGCAGAGGCCCTAGGGGAGACGACACGTGCTGACAACAACCCAGTTTCTCTTCTTTTTGTTTTTCTCTTTTTTTCCCCTTCTCAGATTTCCCGACCTATGCATGTCATCCTTGGGGCCTGGTGGCGGTGCATCTTTCCCTGTTGTAGTGGAAGATTCACTCTCGTTTTGCCTGGCTCCACTACAGTAACTCTCGAAATGTTCAAACTACTCAGTGGCAGAGTCCTACAAGCTGACGAATAGAAGAAGGAGAAACCCAGCAAGCGTTGCAGTGGCCAGATGGGGTGCAGTCCTAATGGAGGACCTACAGGGAAGGGAAGGAGATTTTTTAAAATTATGGAACGTGCTACTCACCCTTCCGGATCTGAAACAAGCGAGTCTTCTTTGAATGTTCTCCCTCCTGGTTACTCCTTCAGCGGTATGGTTATGCAGTAGAGGGATGGAGGAGGTTCCCCTGAAATGCTCACGCTGCTCATGGCCATTCGAGTCCACCAAACACTTGTGGTGGGACTGCCCAGCGTGAAAAAGGGTGTGGAAATGGTGGGAAGACCATTGGAGAAGAATGGGAGGTGAAGGTATTGAGTGGGATGAGCGATGGGTGCTACTGGGATTTGTTAAGGAAGACCACACAGGAAAGAAGGGTTGGCCATATGTGGCCCAAGTGACTAGAGCGGTCATCTGCTCTGTCATCTGGGCTGACAGAAACCGGTCCAGATTCGAGGGGCGACCACTGTCGGATCAAGAGATCAAAGCGATGATTAAGCAAGGACTGAGGAGAGCCATCTGGGCGGACTGGTGCAGGAAGGTCAGAAGCGGTAAAGGCCCAAGGAGACACCTTTGGTGGTTCTTGAGATCATGGGGCAAAGGGAACCAACTGGCACGGGTACACACAGTGAGAGGGTTAGTGGTCTCTAAGTGGCTGAGCTCGTAGTAGAGTAGGAAGGGAGGGGTAGGAATAGAAAGCAGCTATCTCAGTAGAGAGGACCAGGGTATCTCGGTCAGTAGGGAGGAGGCTAGAGAGTACCATAGTTAGAACCAGAGCACTYGGTTCTRTAGGGACGCAGTGGTCCAAGTAGGAGAGTGCGGTAGAATAAGGAACGAAGGCAGCGTTCCACCAGATCGCATAGACCTGGGCGTCGTGTTAGACGAAGTAGGGTAGGAAAGGGTATCGGTAGAAGGAAGTACTGAGTTGAAGGTAAGGAAGGCACGACACAGTTAGAAGAGGTACAAGGAAACAGGAAAATAGAGAAAGGGAGAGTATTGGAATTGGAATTGGAATTACTGTGTTTGGCCTCCAGTTCGGCTGGGGTCGTTCGCTAAACTGGCTGATGCTGCCAGGATTACACCGGGTAGAATTGTGAGGGCCCCCGGCCTCAGTTAAAGTTTGTTTTGAAATGAAATGCATAATCAAAGAGAAAACTACAGCGCAGTCAGGGTTACAGTTTGTAATTACATTTGAACCTGCGTTTTAGCAGTTTAGGGTCTCGCTCCACTACTGTCCACTGTACAATTTTCCGGACAGTTGGTGGACAGTTGTCAGAGTGAAAAATTGTACAGCGGACAGTGGAAAATGCGACATCGCTCCACTTACTGTCCGCTGTCCACCTCTCAAATTTGTGGCTTCACTACCAGACACAGTGATAGCACTACAAGACAGGACKTCCATAGGGTTTTGTCCGCCCAAAATCCAGGTGCACTGTCCAAATTCGGGTCCTCACGGTGAGTCGCTTGAAGGACTTTCCGCGTACTAACGAATTTTGCAGGCTGGGAGCTGTACATTCACGGACAGTAGATT